GGGGAGAGGGAAGGGAGGGGGGAGGGAGGGAGAGAGAGAGGGAGGGGAAACGACAAGGCCTTCCACTTCTGCCTTCAGTAGCAGAGTGGTCCAGGACATTATAAAGCCAGAAGGAGTGATAGACAGAGATTAGAGCTCAGGTCAGAGCTCACATTGTGCCCAAAGCACCTGGGGTGGAGGGTCGATTTCAACAGAAGCTGCCTTTAGATACCCCAGCTGCTGGGGCAGACACTGGGTTCTGCCCCCTGCTTTCCTGGCTCTGAGCGCCCCTCTTTCTACTTCTCCATTTATACAATGATCAGAATATGCAGCATGTCTGCCAGGCCCCAGAAAGTGGAGCAGAGGAGACAAAGCTGCTCAGATACCATTTGTTAGCCTAGGAAACAACCCTGTCCTAACAGGCCTGAAACTCACAAGGGGAGTGTTGGGGGACTCAGGGCCAGAAGGGACCATCACCCAGTCCAATGTGCTCGGCTAACAGAGAAGGAGGCCAGGGGAGGCTCATAGAGAGCAAGTGCTTATTCAAGGCGAGCCAGGGCTTCAGGGCTGCAACCAGGACTATCCTCAAAGATGTCGCACCCCTTCCCACTCAGCCCCAATATTTCTCTGTTCTCAGTGCTAAAGGCACCAGAAGGAAACATTCAGGTTTAGCAGCAATTTGCAACAACAACAAAACTCCAGGAATTCTATTGGGGCAAAGCTCAGTATGAAGAAGTAGCATTGTTAAAAACTCCTGCAGTGTTAGATCACATTAAATGTGTGCTCGAGTCCAGTTGCCAGGTGTGTGACCCAAAACAAGTCCCGTCACACCGCTGTGCATTGTTCCTCAATTGCAAACGAGGTGGTCGGAGCTGCCTAAAGGTCCCTTTCCCCTGTAAAACAAACTTCTGGAAGGCAGAAGTTACACCTTAACCATCTCTATGTTCCCAGCACATGGAATGTCTGGTGTTTAAAAGGAACTCAGAAACATGCTTGTCAAGTGAATGGATGGGTCAGTGAATAACAGGTTTCTGTGGGACAGTGAGTAAGCATGTCCTACATGGCACATGAAAGCAAAACTCAGATCCACAGGGACACAGGTTTGGTCTCAGCATGAGACTTGAGAGCTGCCCAGAAAGGGACAAATGACTCGAGGTGATAGTGAGCCCATCATCACTGATGGTATTCAAGCAGATTGGAGATGTATCTGTATAGTCAGGGTCTCTCTTACCCATTGGCTCAGGTGTCATTTCAGGGGAAATGCTCAGATCACATCCCCAACCAGCACCCAGTGCCTCTGTCCCCACCGTGAGGCCTGCGTCCCTTCCATCCGACGGCTCAGCCCGAATACACAGCTCTATCCTAGGCTGCACTTGCAGCAGCTCGCAGTGGAGCGGAGTGGAGGGAGCCATATCCATGTGTTTAACTGGCACAAAACCATGCTAACTTAGTAGCGAGAAAGAGCGATGTAACTGAAATAATGAGGGTGATCCCACTCTTTATCCCACTCCGTGACCGTGTTCCCCAGAATGAGAGGTGGGAAAAGGGAATCCATCTGTTCTCCCACCTGGTCTCTTTGCCCCTTGGACTTGGACTTCTCCAAGCATGGGTGGCGTTTGAGTAGGTTTTCAAGGTGTGTGTGTGGTTTCAACTATACTCGGATTTCTTCTTTATACGCTGACTCTGGGATATGCCTTGGTATCAGTGGAAGAGCTGGGCGGTGCCCTAACTAGAAGGACCCTGAGAGGCGATGAGAGGGGCATCCATGCAGAACCTCTGAAGAAGGCAAAGGGCCGTGCGGGGACCCCGCAGACAGGCCTTGACCCTGGGCATCCTCAGGGGCAGAGGAGGCCGCTGCCCCTGCCGTGGGCGGTGAAGGCCCAGAACAGCCGTGGCTCCTGTGTGTCAGGCCGGCAGCACTCACCAAAAACCGTGGCCCGTCGATGTGATGCTTCTTCACCGCCTTTTCACAGTCTTTGTAGTTCAGCTGCGCAGAGCAGAGGAAGGCTGTCAGTGCAGCTGGCTCACGCCATTGGGTCCCCTCCCCTGCCTGCCCCAGAAGCTCAGCAATCTGTGGTACTTGTGGCTAGCCAGACTCCCCGCTCCCTCCCCTGCCTCCCACGGGCCTGTCCCCTCCCCAGTCCTGCTTTCACTAACCTCCAGGGACCCTCTAAAATGGAGAACCTGTCTCGGTCCAAGGCTTCGGGGCCAACCCCTTAGAAAGAGGGTGTCTTCTCGCTACAGGGGGCCGCCGGGCTCCGCAGGCAAGCGGAGGGGCAGAAAGCAGCAAAGAAATCGCATCCGTTGTCTCGCCGCCCAAAGCAAGCTTGGGGACCATGGCAGTGTGTTCCCTTCAATGCTCTTACTCTGAGCGTGTGGCTAAACATAATTGAGCTTATAATCTATATCCGATCTTGGGAGCCTTTTTCTCTTAAAATTACCTTAAAGTGATAATATAAGCACCGCCTCCTGCTGCTGCAAACTTATTTTAAACATTAGTTTCATTGTTCCCTTGTTGCTAAACATCTAGGTGGTTTACCAAACTGCTGCTCCAGTAACGATAATAGCAACTGCTAAAAATTACCCAGCGCTTGCTCTGCGGCAGGCTCTGTTCTAAGTATTTAAGCAATCGAAGTCATTTAATTCTGACATTTTCCAGATGGAGAGTCAAAGGCACAGAGGGTCAAGGAACCTGCGGGAAGCGCCACAGGTAGTAGGTGACAGAGGGGATGATCTGGTTTCAGAAAAAGGCTTTAATGTCTCTGTCAGGAACGGTCCCATAGTTGTCAATAACATTATAACTTACAGCTAAGTGAAGTGAATAAATTTATTTATTTATTCTTTTTTAAAATCCTCACTAGAGGATATGGGTTTTTTTTTTCCATTGATTTTTTTCAAGAGAGTGAAAGGGAGGGAAGAGGGGGGAGAGGGAGGGAGAGAGAGAGAAAGAGAGAGAAGAATCAATGTGAGAGAGACACCTCGATTAGTTGCCTCCCAATCGTGCCCCAACCAGGGCTGGGGATTGAACCTGCAACCAAGATACATGCCATTGACTGGGAATCGAACCCACAACCATTCAGTCCATGGGCTGATGTTCTAACCACTGAGCAAACTGGCCAGGGCAAAAGTGAATGAATTTAAGTGCAGCTTAATACACCATCCAGATCAAAATATAGGACAGTACGGACATTCTTTCACATCCAGTTTTGTTTTCTTCTACTTAAGAGACATTGTTTAAGTTAGATTCTCAGAATAGAGTTACAGGGTTAACGGGAATAATCATTTTTTGGGGTTTCCTAAAGAGTCACATCAATCGACAGTCCTATCAGGTGCCTGAGCCGCTGTGTCTTCAACAGCATGTGAACTGCACTGGAAGTGTCTCTAGTGTGATGTCTGGGGATGGAGTAGGTGAGGTTAAATGTTTGCCCTTGAGGATCCTAGGTTCTCCCCACAAGTGTGAGTGTCACAGTTTGTGGCAGCCTTCTTTTGGTACGAATTTAAAATCATGGCCTTGTCTCACAGCCAACAAGACTAAAAAGTAAGCACAATTATAACCTCATGGCTTGAAAGGGTAGGAAAACTATTAGAAAGCTTGGAAAAAGCCGATTTAGAGGTCAACGTGGAAAGCAAGCAGCATCTGGGGAGCCCTGGGCGTCCCTCTTATCTCCGTGCTCTGGGCTATAAGTGGTTCTTGGAAGAGTCAACTGCCCTCGAGTCATCGCTTTCACCGTAGTCACTGTCAGATGAACCTGATTTTACAAAGTGCTGACCTCAACTCTCGATAGACAGCTTTGCAGACTGCGGCCTGCCTAGAAGTTTGATTTTGATCCAATAATACCTGGGCTTGGTGGCTAGAATCTATAATTTTAGCAAACACTTAGATGACTTTTATGAGCACCCAGCGTTGGTTGGCACTGGTTTAGAGCAGGTACCTGGTGTTGTCCATGGGGAAACTGGGGCCCAGAGAGGCCTACGTCTGAGGCCTGAAGTCCCACAGTGAGCTGGGAACACGGCTGGGATTAGAAATCACTGCTCTGAGCCAGTGCCTTCCCCACTCCATGGCCCAGAGATGCTTGCCTGCCAATCACAAGGAATCGGAGGGATTAAAGGAATACAAAACATGACCGAAGTCCTCCTCAGGCTTGCGTTCCAGACAGAGGGTGAGCTATGGTCTGCCTGGGCACCCAGCTAGGGTACAGCGACTAGGGCAGGAAAAATGGAAGTTCAGACATCAGTTGCCCCCTCTCTCTGCTGAATGCCTCCCAACTGCCTTTAATTCCCCCAACAATCCCATGAGGGTAGTTAATGTTAGTATCTCTGTTATACTGATGAGGACCCTGAGGCACAGAGCGGTCAAGGAACTAAGGCAAGGTCACCAAGCTGGCAAGTAGCACAACCAGGATTCAAACCGAGGTGTGTCTGACTCCAGAGCTGGCTGGGGAGGTGTCTCCAAGGGGGGGGCCTGGTATCAATGCTTCATTAGAAATCACACCTGCCACTCTTTTAAATAGGAGATTTGATGGCTAAGATCCATCCCCAAATAACTCCGTGGTAGTTCACTTGGGACTGAAGTGCTCAGGATCTGAAGGGTGTTTATCTGAGTCTCTGGGGCGACATCCAGATCACAGAGGCCCTTCAGTCTCCTTGTTTCCACCTTCAGTTCTTTTATGCTGGGAGGGGAAGCCTATTTGGCTGCTGTGGACTTGTCCCAGGGTTTGGGATTTCCAAGAAGAAAGTTCTCCCTTTCCCCAGCTCAGGCAGAGACCCTTCCCCCTGAATCATCTCTGACCTGGCGTCCATCTCCCTGTGCAGAGGGGATTCTTCTGTAGCTGGACTGGGGTGTGCATTCTCCCTCTCCCATTGGAGATTGAGCCTCTCTGTGCCTCGCAGCCTGTCCCCTGGTTTCCCTCCCTAGTTCCCAATCCTCTCCTTTCTTTATTGAGCTAACATGCCACTCGAGAGCATCTTGGCAAATTCCCCTGGTTGCCCTGGTTCACTTGGTCTACCTTAAAGAAAAGTATTTAGAAATACCCTTCAAGAGTCAATTGTCTCAACCGTCTTTGCACCCACAATGCTGAAACCTAAGTTGACTATGACCTTTTAGAGGGAAAAAGAACAGAAAGGCGACACACAAAAGGCAGCAAATAGCAGCGTCTGTGGTCTGTGCCCCCATCGTGCCCCACCTGAATCAACGTTTTAGGCTTTTCTTCTTCGGGCTGGGGGACAGCAGTTGGGACGGTAAACACCTTGGTACCACACAGAGCCCACAGAGCCCAGGTTTGCCTCTATGCCCTCGGGAGCCTGTTCTACCCCAGGAACGACAGAAAGTTGGCTTAATGATCTTAAGGCCTTGACTTTAAAATCTCATCCATATGACAGGCTGGAGTATTGTCTGAATTTGGTGCCAACCTCCTCAGATGGGGGTGTAAGAAGGTCATATGTCCCTCACAAGACACTGTATCCCTTGGACAGGGACAGAGGTCCCTAACTGAGTGAAGTGGCTTGGGATCAGATATGTGACCTATGGCCCCGCCAGCAGATACCAAGCATGGGGAGGCAGGACAACTGGTCTCAGCTGTGCCGCAGCTCAGCCTCTGACCCTCCTGGCTCAGCCTCTTCCTCTGCAGGAGCCTCAGTTTCCCTGCCTATAACATGGGCTCACATCGGTTTTCTGCCCTGCCTCTCAAGGCTCTCAGAAAGCTCCAGTGAGGCTCTGTCCCACGCAGGGCTTGAGGAGCCTTCGTTCAGGGCCATGAGCAGTGACTGGCGGACGCTTCCTTCGGCATTGCTTAGCACAGCCCTCACTGGCCTAGTCTGCTTCCCTTCACCCACCCCCAGGGCTCCATTCCTCCCTTTCTAATAAGTCCCCTTGATTTCACCGGGGGTTATAGCAGGTCTCCATCTCAGAGCATGGACTTTGAAACCAGACAGGCAGCCTGAATCTTGCCTTTGTCACATGCAGTCCCTGGGGCTTTGGGCCATTTGACCTCCCTGAGCTGATTTTGCAGCTGAGCAGGGGATAAACAGTATTGAGCAGTGCTGGAAAGTGGGAATGGGACAGTGCCTAGAGAGCGCAAACTCAAGCCCTGGCACATGGCAGGTCCACATTCATTTGAGGGCCTCCCCTCTCCCCAGATCTCACTGTGGGAGCACTCAGGGCTGTAGGTCATATCTAATGGCACTTGCTCAACTGGGGAGGCTGCCGTGAGCTGGAAGTTCACTGCTATCTTTTATGCCTCTCATGTTCGGCCCAGGTTCCATTGTCAAGCTCTGTCCAGCCCACCGAGGGCACTGCCAGCCCCACCACCAACTAACAGCAAGGCTCACCTTCCTGAAATAGTCCGCGAGGCTGTCGGGGTCCCAGGCCAGGACCTCGGAGCGGAAGGGCACGTTCCTCAAAGCCATGGCTGCTGTCCTGGGAGGAGGCTCACAAGCTGGGCCTGGGCGCGGTGCCCATGGACGGAGACCCCAACCCAGAGCGCGGAGGTGCCCTGGGTTCTTCCCGTTCCCCGTTCCCCTCTGGGACAGACTGGTAGGGCCAACGTCTTTCTGTGCAGCCAGATCCCAGAAAGCAATGCTTCCTCCGCGAACAAATATGGTCTCTTCTCAGAAAACGACTCAGCAAGTTTCCTTTACCACTTCCTCTGCTGGGCCCTAAATTAGTAAACAAGGAAGCCCAGCACCGCGACTGGAGAGGCAGGGACAGCGACAGCCTTGGTAATTCCCCACAGGTCCAGGCCCCCCAGCCCAGTGGGAGTGGCGATGAAGCGGACTTAGACTCCAGTGTGAGTCCAAGTATGTTTCTATTAAAGCTCCTGGCACCCACAGGTCTACACCACAGTCCTGCTTGGCTGGGTCTTTGCAGATGATAATCTGTTTTGACAGTTGACCTAAAATATAGACAATCTCCCACATCAGTGAATTGTGCGGGGAAGGGGCATGGCCTTTTCATGTTTTCCAACCACCCCTCAGTCTCTCTCTGAAGGAAAAAGTTGAGATTCCTTCAGCTGCCTCCCTCGGGTGACTACCAGAGGATGCTCCGTGAGCGAGCGAGCAAGCGAGCGAGCTGGGCACCCAGGGCTGGGAAAGGGCCTGCACAGGGCAGACCAGGCTCGATTTCTCGTATGACGGTTTCCATGCCCTGCTTTTCCAAAGGTAGCAGTGGCCATGCACCGTTTCCATCTCATGTAGAATCTAAGGAGCCCCACTGTCACTATGATGCTCCAGCCTTGCCAAGCGGCAGCGAGCTTCAGTGAGATCTGCACTGCACCCCAGGCCCAGCACCTTTATGGAAGTGGTCCATACACCTGAGCTGGAGTCATCCTCGCCTCACAGGGAGCTGGGGCATCAATCGAGGCAGCCCAGGCCAAGCAGTCCTCACAGGGCCTGGACCTGGGAGCTCCCAGCGTAACTGAGTGTGCTGTGCAAAAGCCCCCCGGCTGGCAGGAGAGGCCGCTTCACTTTCCCAATCACCAGAAGAAGAGCTCAGGATTTTCAAAAAGCCATTTGAAAACAGAGGGAGAGAGAGAAAACTCACTTCCAAGTAGAGTGATCGGAGGTGTCATGGAGTTAGCTGGGATTTAGCAGGGTCCCGAAAGGCGGAGCAGAAGGAAGGCATTATGTGTGTGTGTGGTGCGTGTGTGTGCTGGGGTGTATTTCATGAGTGCAGAAAACACACCATACCTGTGGAAAGGATCATTCAAGATCATCCCTGGAAGTAGAAGCATTTTTTTAAAAATTATGTTCACTCCCCCACTCAGGAGAGTGAAAAGCTACAAAAGTTGGAATTAAGATATAGCTAAATATTAGGCTTTGGGGGAGGAATGACCAATAAATGTGGCCGAGATGGACAATCCATGGAGCCCACGCAGAAGAGGGACACAGCAATCAAGAAACCTGGTGACAGTGATGATGACGCTAAGAATCATCACAGACACGACACATGGAGTCCTTCCTGTGTGCCCGGAGGGGCTGAGGACTTGGCACTAATTCTCTTATTTAATTGTTGGTGCCATTACTACTCCTTTGCAGAAGGGAAAACTGAGGCCCAGGGAGGTAAAGCTACTTGCCCCTGACCCCCTCCGAGTCCACTGTCCTTTTCCTCTGTGCCACCTAGGCTCTGAGGCGTTCCATAAATTGCCTAAGCCGGAGGAGGGATTCAAACCCACCTCTGTCTCAGAGCCTGCGCCGTTTCCACTCTGTCCTTCTGCCTCCCACGGAGAGCAAGTGAGGCTGTTACTATGGCTAAGCTAAGAAGAAGATACAGCCCTTTCCAGGAGGTAGGCCTCTGGTGCCCCTCCCGTAAGGCAGCAGGCCCATTCCTCAAAGGGCGGCTGGGCAAGTGGCGGCAGGTGACACCAGAGGAAGCTGGCTGCTTCCGGCCCGGAGCCTCTCCTCTTCCCTGTCCCTGGGGATTTCCCAATGCTCACAAGTTTCATATCTCCTGTCTCTGGCCAGAGGGTTCCAGAAGCTGCAGGGGCAGGACCAGTTAGCCCTGGAGAGGCTCAGGAGCCAGGAGGACCAGTGTGACCCTTTGCAGGCCTGCTCATTGGCCCAGCCTCAGGCTTCACACCTGTAAAATGGGCAGGGACAATCGCGGCCTCCGGTGCAGGCCACAGCAGATGGGATGCTGCAGTGTGAAGGCTGGGCCAACTCACACCCATTCCCTAAAGAGCATTGGTCTCGGCCTCAAACATGAAGCAGAGCAGAGTGGGGAGCAGCTAAGTGCCATGATGTCAAGCTGTGGCCTGGGGGGACCCTCCCGGTGCAACCCTCCCCTAACTCTCTCTTCCCCGGCCAGATGAAGAAACCCAAAACTCATAAAGGAGCAAACTGATAGGTTAGCAGAGGCCTTCTTAGGCTCTATAATCTATATCTCAGGGTTAGGACAGGTCAAATAGTCCCTGAACACAGTAACAGCAGCCTCATGCGAGGACACAGGGACAGGGCTCAGGGACAGGCATCTTAAAAGTGCATCAGAGCCTGTGGACAAAAAAGAAATACTTGCAGGGAATGATGAGTTGGATGTTTCAATATGAGGGACAAAAATAGATCCAGGTGCGGCACACTGCACCCCAGAGGGGGATCACCCCAATATCCCCCCTGCCCACCCCACCCCATCCAGACTTGAGAAAGTATCACGCAGGGAGCAGGAGAGAATGGAAAGGAGGGACTTTGTTGACCCTCTTAGGAGAGGTACCTGCGTTAGGGGGCAGGTGGGAGAATGTGCTGCTTTGGATGTAATTTGAAAGAGGGTGTTGGCTGGAGGGCAGAGGAAAAGCTGGTGGCATGTGGCCCACTTGGGGCACTGCAGGGTCGCCTTCACCAACATTTTATGGTGAGGTGACTGCTACTGGAACTTCCTCTGGGCCTGTGTGGGTTTGCCTGCAGAGGGAACAAGGACTGTCACCTCCATTCTCTGAGGCTGGCAGTAGAAGCACCATCTGTGTGGCATCCTCTGATGGCAGAGGGCTCCACCCGCACAGGAGGGGAGCCAGGAAGGTGCAGACTGTGCCCCTGGCCGGGCAGCTCCACACACGGCAGCCCTGCACTGAGGCGCAGAGTCGGTGACTGCCTCGGAGCCCTGTGCGGGGACGGACAGGCCCGCTGTGCGGCTTCCCTCCTGACCAGCCTCCTGGAGGCTGTGGGGTGGGGGGCGGGGGGAAGGGCTCGTGCAAGCCACACGGCGCTGTCCCCCACGGCCACAGCCCGGCCTCCTTCCCCAGACAGGACAGTCCTCCCCTCCTTGTCCTGGGATAAGCATGACAAAAGCCTGAAGCAGCTGCCACAGGCCAGGCTGCAAGGAGCAATATTTTCCATTTCCTCAGAGCTGACAATTTCATCATTTTCAAAAACTATATGTTTTTCATCCCCTCTCCCTGCCTCTCTGTCTCTTCTGTGTTGGCCGAGGCGCGTCAGCTCGAGGGTGGGTGGTCGGAAGTGCTTATTTGGGCTTCCTGCCCAGCCTCCCTTCCTCGCTGCCCTATTTTGTACGTGGGCACCCTATCCCCGGCGGCTCTGCTCCAAGGGAAACTCCCCGGCTGCCCGCAAGGGTGGGTGGGTGTGGGTGTGGGCAGGGGTCAGGAGAGGGGAAGGAGGCTCCTCAGCTCCATAGAAAAGAGCTCGCCCCCTTCTCTGGGCAAACTGGAGCAAGGAAGAGGTGGGTGGGGGGGCGTCAAGAAAAGTCAAAACCATTTTACCTGCAGCCCAGCAGAGGCCACTGTGGCCTCTTCGAGCTGCGCCTCCGAGGAAGAGCTGTGGGCCCAAGAAGTGTGTGCACCCCTAAGATGAGGTGGAGGTTTGACCAGCAAGCCCAGCAGCCCAGCATGGGTCCAGCTCTTTCTGCCTCTTAGCACGATGGATCCTCACAAAAGCCCTGCGCGTAACAGCAACGCTCTAGTCTTACCGATGCCAAGAGACTGCGATTCACTTGCCCCAGTTCCTACAGCTGGGAATACAGGCAGGCATGCCAACTCAGGACTGGTGCCTTTCCACCTGTTCCACTTGCATGATTTGTCCCTTCAGTCTTGGCTTGTCCACTTCGCTGATGACTGTTGGTCTGGAGTTTCCTGCCCCACCGGTGGCCTGGTGCTGGTGGCCTCCTCGCTATTTGTGGAGCTCCCTCTGTTGGTTGCGTTACCTGCCTTGAGAATATCAGTGCTCTGCCCACCAGTTTTTACCTGGCCTTGTAGACTTCTGACCCAGACAGAGTGCATCTCCCAGTACACTGTCGAAGGAGGGGCCCCTGGCTCAGCCTCACCAGCCCCTTGTACCTCACTGAGCACAGGTGTCAGGGCTTTCCCCTGAGCACACATGTTGCTGGCAATGTGGAGGGGAGACAAGGACAGTGAGTCCCCGAGGAGGAGTGGGGGAGGGGCTTGGGGAGAAGACACATCTAGAAAACATCTACCCAACCCTTCCAGGGGGCCTCAAGGGTTTGGGGAAAATAAATGCTAAATTCTCACACCTATTGTATCATGTGATTCTTCTGACTGCTCTTTTTGAAAGGGAGATAGAAACTACATACCCATTTTACAGGTTACAGAGAGAGGCCTAGGAGAAAAAATGATGCCCAAGGCCTCACAGATAATCAGAGGTGGAATGTGCTATTTGAAACCAGACTTGTCTGATGCTAAGACTCTTTCCACTGAAGATGTAGTTTCCAAGGATAGAAATTTTACTAGGTGAGTGACTGGTATTTACCTAGACCAGGTCATGCCATATGTATTATTAGGCTATAAAAGAAAGGATATATTGCCTTTGAGTGTTTCTAAAATAATGATTCTTGTTTTTTCTCTAATTTAATTTGTCCTGTGCACTGAAAGGTAGCCAGTTTAATTCTCGGTCAGGGCATATACCCACGTTTCGAGCTTGATCCCCCACTGGGTGCATGTGGCAGGGAGGGC